GAGTGTTATAGTAATTCATTTCCTACAGATTGGAGCTATCTCATCTGTGAGGTTGAGGAGGTGCTGCTGTCTTCAGCATGAGACCCAGTGATAGTGAATGAGTATGTGCTTGTATACTTCATTCTGACAAAAATCATCTGGATTACGGATTGGTTGTTTGGTCTTTACAGTGGCAGAAAATAATGGAAAATGCCCATTGCAGCTTCCTAAAACACAAAGTGATGTCAGATATCTTGGCTTGTCAGGCCCACAGATGAAAACCAAAATGATAACGCGGATTTAAAAAAAAAAACAAACAAACATCAAATCTTCCCATTTTAGAAGCTGGGAACAGTAAATGTTTGGCATTTCTGCTTTGAAATCACCTAAACAGTTAATTCCCGGTCAAAATAGTAGCTGATTAATTTTCTGCCATTCAGCTATTTGAAGAATCATCTTATTGTTTCAGCTCCAGTACATTTTACTTGTACTCAGGATGAGAAATCCACAGCTCATTTAAAAATATAAGACATGAAGTCATGCTGGGCCAGGGTGGTGGTTCTCGAGTCGGATTATAACGTGGGATGGTCAGTGAAGAATATATTGCAGTTGTCACATAACATAATAATACTAATATTCTACGTGCACCACTCTGCTGCAGACCCTCGTCTGTCCCTTTACCAAACGCTGAAACGTGGCTACCACTGTGTTCATATCTCATTGCTAGCCCCCATCGGGGGCTCAGTCCCAGTAAAGACCTGGGACGTTGCAGGATTATCTTTCTGGTGCATCCACCATGGACATTTTTTTTTTAAGGAACAGCAGAGTGATGAGCCTGGCACGGAGGACAGGGCAGTCAACAAACTATTTTCATGCCAGGCATTTTAACATGTAATAGCAATATAAGCACATGCCTAATGGGTACAGTGTATTCTATTCAAGGTCCTGTGTGTGCTGGCTCACTTAAGGGACACTTAATGGAAAACAGAAATCATCAGTGTTATTAGTAACACCTGTGGCAATGTCTGCTGAGAAAACTGGCATCTCAACTGTTGAGAAGGCTCTGCTCACCTGCACGTGTCATTCTGACAGACTATGGTGAAGTTGGTCAGTCACAGGGTTGCACCTGGCAATTTATGTCATTATTGATTAACTGTGTTGAGTCTTTATTGGTCAGTATAGTCTTTGAAATGTCAGGTGGCAGAACTTCAGATGTTTCTGTGTGTGACCAACAGTGTAAAGCACAAAGGTGTTGAATATGGAAGGTACAAGGGTCAGCCAGTTATCTGATAAGTTGATCAACAGGATGAGATTATTTTGATCAGTCATATAAATCAATATGCAAACATCTTGAAGTCTAGGAGACTGTGATAACCATTTTTTACAAATATTTTCTGATGTTTTGTTGAGCAAATGATTAATCAAGAAAAATTCAACAGATTAATAGATAATGAAAAAGAAACGTTAGTTGCAGCCCTTTAATATAAAACAGAGATAATAATCCATAATCTTTTAATCCCTTAATAACTTTAAAGCACTAATGAGGGCCTTAGATGGTATCATGTCACTTTTACAATGATATTTTTTAAAACAACTGGTTGATTAATTGATTAGTAGAGTCACAAAAATGATTGGCAGCTATTTTTATGATCAAGAAGTCATTTGTCAAGTAAAAATCCAAAAATTTGCTTCTGAGTTGTGACTGTTTTTGGTTTTTCTTTGATTTCTGTGTTGGTAAACAGAATATCTTTAGGTTCTGGGCTGATTAAACAAGGAAATTATTTAATGTCACATTTACTTGGGAAATTTTTTCCCACTGATGTTTTCACTGGTTTCTGACATTGTGAGGATCAACGGCAAATAAATCAGTTATGAAAGTAATGGTTTGAAATTGCCAATCCTTTTTCTTACAGATAGGTGAATAATAGACAGACTTTGTCCGACGAGTCAAAGACGAGGCTGCGTGGCACGTTGCCTGGCCAGATTGTCAATAAAATGGTTAAGTCATCTTAATTGAATAAAGTGTCCCAGCTGAGTTTCCACATGCTGGAGCACTCAGGAGTCCCAGGGGTATAGATGGCTATATTGGACTGTGACATGGTTTACTGCTGCTGTAAAGGGCTATACGTTATACCCTGTGAAAATCCAAACTTCCAAGGCTGCAAACACACACAGATGCTGAAACAGAACCTGAGAGGTCTTTCCCCTGATTGCCCACCACCACGAGAATCTGCTGACTTGGCAAAAAGTGCTATGATAGATGGCTGGCCTGAGCAGACGTCTGTACACTGGAGCATAATGTGCTGCATAGCCAAATAGTTGTGACTGAGGCTTTCACAGGCTCAGTGCTGACAGACGGCCTCGGGGCTGATCACATTACCAGGTACGCCTGCTGCAGGTCCATCTGTGCGACAATAAAAAGCAGCAGGACGACCATCACAAGGACAGGTGGTGTCCAAAACTCCACAAATAACTCTTCCATGATAAATATGAAAACTTTTTTTGTCACCTTCCTGGTTCATGTTTTCACTTGTTCACAACAAACTTCATGTGGGTTGGAATGGCCGAGGTCCTCTCCTCTGAGCCTATTGCCTGACAATTTGGCTGAATCACTTCCCCCATGAGACTCCTCCCGCAGGACAGACAAGCTGTGATTTGCTTCCAAGCTAATCGCTGTCCCAAGGTTTCACTGAGAAGTCTCCTGCATTACAATCATGCTGCAAGGCAGCTGTGCATCCTGCTCTGGGCCTAATCCATTATTCTGACAGTGTTTCTCTCTGTCTGCTTACCGCCGCTGCTGCCGTCTGGGTCACCAGTAACACAGGCTGACTGTGCAGAGATGGGCAGAAATAAGGTTTCTGTAGTGAAGATCCACGAGGGCCACTTGCCCTATGAGGGCTCACTCTCTCAGTTCAGGCAATTTCAGATGTTCATCTAGAAGAATTTCATATACAGCCACAAGAAAAGTAATGGCACTGTTGCAGTTTCCTGGGTTTCTGCATAAATTGGTCATAAAATGTGATCTGATCTTCACCAAAGCCAGAAATATCAGCAAACACAATATATCTAAGCTGATACAATAGAAACAGTCATGATCTTTTTTGTCTTTATTGAACACACCCATAAAACATATAAAGTGATGGTGGGAAAAGTAATGGCAACACCAGGCTTCTGATGTCACAAAACATCAACTGGAATCAGCTGTTCGCAAACCTGGAGCCCAATCAATGAATTGAGAATGGCTGACACTCAAACAGTGTCGCAGAATTCGGAGAAAAAAAGTCAGAACTTTTTACAGTGACCCTAATCCTCATCCATAACAGATCATGTTTACATTTCATGAATCTTCTTTGGTATGCGTGGATTTATTTGGCTCTGAATATTTAAACTTGTGATGAAGCCGGATGTCATTTGGCAGAGCCTTTTGTTCAGTGTGAGAACATCACTGCCTGTCGCCATCTTTGTTTATATGAGATTAATGAATAGCCAAGAAAATGATCTTTTTCCTGGATTGGTCCGGATTATTAATTTTGATTCTGTGTTGAAGAGCCTACAAGGGTTTGGGAGATACCGTTTAGAATTTGGGCGAGTGTTGTTAAATAACAGTGCAGGATTAAATTCGACATGTATCTATTTTGCAGGTTAATGTGACTCGAGGTCACATAAGAGTCACAAGATGGGGCTAGGGCTCAGTAACAGCGATAACGCCTCCAGTGTTAACTCATTATTTACTAGGAAATAATAAATTGATACCAGTGTTTCAACATGTTTCATCATTACACAACCGAGTACGTCATTATTTGTGTAACATCTGTCCTTGCTATCTGCTTTTATAGACTGAAGTGATGCTGAGCTTATTTCCTCAGTATTTATAAATATGAAAAAGCATAGGTTTTCATTCTAGCAATCCCACTTTTAGAACAACAACCCCCTTTTTCCACTTTAAAAGTCATAGCTAGCAGGTTAATTTTAAAGTAAAGCAGTACATTGAGAACACCATTAATAGAAATGCTGCTTGTCACCTCATGCGGCTTGTAGTTGGACAGATGACCTCTTCACCTCTCTGGCCTGCAGGACACATGAGTCACCCAGCAGGACAGACAGAGGCTTTCTTCCTTCAGCACCATTGCCTTTTATCCGCGAGCTGTTTTTCAGCCTGATTAAAGGAATTCAATTTCCATCTGTTGCGTGGTGATATTTAGTTCCAACAAGCGGTTCTGTGATGAGCTCGGAGAGAAGAGAGGTGCTGTTGAATGCATAAGGAGGAAGGGCATGGATGTGCTCATTGTGGAAGTGTTTGCAGAGCTGACACATGGCTTATAAGCATTCATTTGTCACTGCAGGCCATTGCCCCACATGCTCGAGCCCCCCCCACCACACACACACACACACACTTACATCCACACTCCACCACAGAGTGACCTGGGCATCTGGTTAGGAGTTTGCCCTTGAAAGGACATTGGTCAGGCATGGCTCGTCTGTCCTCATGTGCACACAGCATGGACTTTAATTGGATGACTTTATACCTTCGAGCTGCGCTGCCGCTGCTGCTCAGGTCCCTGCGGAACATCACTCATCCTTTCATCTCGAGCTGCAGTTGTGTTTGAGTGTTTCCTCTGATGATCCAAGCGTCTACCTGGTTTCCTTTTACTCCTACACATTTGTCAAGCGCGTGTCAGCTGGTGTCTGTGATTCACTCACCAAATGCTGGCTTCCTCTTTAAGATTAATTGATGACACATCAGCAGCACTCAACTTGACTGAGTCCTGTTTCTTTTCACAGCTCCAGGTGCAACTCTCAACC